GCCACTGAACTGCCACAAACAACTTCATTTGCTATAAACCAAATTCTTCCACCACTTCCTTTCCCACCCTTCCTTTCCCTTAAAACCAGCCTCCTGAGTAATTTCTGCTTCCATCAATTATCAGCAGCTGAATACCAACGCTGAGTCATGGGCAGAGCTTGCAAAGCGATGGCTCATCTGAGTCTGGGKTTTTTTTTTCCAGCAAAAGGTTCTTACACTGCTGGTAAGGTGAAGATTTTGCAGACAGGCAGCAATGCAGACTTCAGCCTCAAAGCTTTCTCCATTATAAGGACTGCAACGTCTCTGAGACTTAATAAAACAATGTAAGAGCAAGATACTATGACAGAACAATGTCCAATACGTTGCAAATGTCTTCTTCCCATCTTATCTGGTGTTATGGCAGGCAAACAAAACCCAAACTCAAGTTCTGCCCTCTAGAAAGATGTGTTTTTATGTTTTGTTTTGGTTTTTGTTTGTTTTTTTGAGGAATGCATCCTCCCTCCCTCCATAATGAAGCATAACCACAGACTTTGAAAACAAGCTTTTCTCCCAGTGACTCTTAGCTAACTTGACTGCACCTTACAGGGCCAATATTTGCTCTGCAAATGAAGCAAAACTWACTCTTGGGAGGTTGGAGGTTTTAAATGAGAAAAATCTGATTATGATCCAAAAAGCATTCAGACATGAAAGGGACAAGGCTGAAGCTGGTAATAGTGAGAGTTTTCYCACCTGCAGCAATCACCTAAGCCTAGCCAGCCTCAGGAATGCTGGCTAATAGGCAGATCACAAGATACAGGATTCAGGACAAATCTGCTAGGGAGAAAAAGACTGTGCACATCCCTCTTAATCCTCTCTGAAGCCAAGTAGCATTTGAGGTGTTTGGCTGGAGCTGCACAGGACCTCCCTGCTGCTTGTGCAGAACAACAGCACCATCCAGAGGACTCGGGGATGCAGCGTTTGGGTGATCTCTCTAGCTGGGACAGTGCTGGGACAGGACAGGTCAAGTTCAGAAGGTAACACAGCCATAATGGGGGGCAGCAGAGCGAGACATCTCACCACCACGTGCTGGAACGATGCACATTTGCAGCAACTGTTCGGATCCCGGATGCAGGAGCTGTAACGCAGCTACCCACAAACGCTGCTGCAAACTGGTGTTTTCACTTGGTGTTTAAACTTGGGAAGTTTAAATCCCCATCCATTTCTCCCTATTGCCCACCCATTTCTCACAGCACCACTCCAAATGTCAGAATTCAACTTTAAAACCATTTGTCTTCCCAGTCACAGGTCTCATGACATTAGCAACATCAGCCCAGCAGTTAATCGAATTCAAGTCAACAGGCAATGCTGCGGGAGCAGAATTCCATGCAGCACATTTTAGAGATTAGGATATATAATCAAGCAAAAACAACCCCTTCCTCTCCCATCGCCTCCTCTTATTTACATTCACCCACAAAAGAAAGAAAAAGTTGCAGGATATAAATCTTTCTCTGAGTCTAGGAGGACTCCAGGGTTGCTTTTACATGAGGTTTGGGTAAGGAAGGGTAAGAGGTTCCAGAAGAGGGGTAAGAAACAGCCCCAGTYCCTGTCGCTGGCTTTGGAGATGTGTGGAGGCTGCTTCAGATTCCCAGGGAAGACGCTCGTTGACCATTTCCCCTCATTCTGTAGCAGCATCTCTAGGGATTTGGCTTAACACGTACAAACAGGCACGATCCTGAGTCAGTATGAAGTACGAAGGTGTCTTCTTTAAGGCAAATAAAGATAAAACACACTACATAATGCTTAATCTTTGTTATTTATTGCTCTCCATACAATTTAAGAGTTAACAAATGTGAGCACTATCCAGCATTCTSAACAGCTGATCGTACCATGACTCACTTCTCACAAATATCTGTGACCACATTCCTGACCTACTTTGGGAATTAGAAAGCACCGAAGACGGGAGATTGTTCCCTTCAGAAAAGGAGAGCCCCATGGAGTTTCTGGCTGGAAGCCACCAATTGCATGGACTTGAGATGAGGTAGATATATTCAAAGTTAAAAAAAGACTTCCTGGTTTTGCTCTGTTCCTGCCCAAATAGGAGGGCAAATTCAAATACAGGATGTTACTGCTCCATACTTTATACTATGAGCTTACCTTGAGGAATTCTTCCCATCTGGGGCTGCTCCATAACCCACAGTCTGGACATGCACTCCCACATCAGTATCTTGGCTTTCATCTGACATTCAGAGAGAACTCAGGAAAAGAAAGTTCACATTCCTGGGACACGTCAAAAATGCCTCTACAATTTTATGTTCGTGAGAAAGGCTTTAGTCACATTAYGCAAGAGGACAGTAAAACCCAGTACTATTCACACACTTACAAACACAAGGCAGTACACACCACTGTCCACTTCCCACCACCTCTAAGATTATATTCTTCCCAAAAACGTTTCCAGAAACACAGGAAGAAAAAGCTGCAAAATTAAGAGGTCTATATAGATGTAGTCCTCCTGTCAGAGCAGTTTGCCATTCAGGAACAAAAGTGGAGGGGTAAGAAAGGCAAAGCTGCCTTCTTAAAACTGCTAACACTTGTCACACATTCACTCACGGCTTGATTACCACAAAGGTTCACTAGAGCCACCAGTTATTGCAAGAGTCATAAACGGCTATTTCACTCTTCAGAGAAAAGGATATTCTCTAGAACAGCATTATCTGCAAAAGGACTTTGAACTCTGAAATTGCCTGGGTTCCTCCTGTCTGTAACTGCTCCGACCTCCTCTGAAGGCAATCACGGGGAAACCCATCTCTCTGCTGGCAGAGACACAAGTTCACTAGCACAATTCTCCTTGGGGTTGCCACAGACTACTTGACTAGTAGTAGGTCAAGCCAAATCGCAGGTAATTTAATTATCTTGCATTCTATTTAAACCTATTCTATGTAACCAAGCCATCGCATGGCTTCTCAATTTCACAGGCAACCTCTGAAACCAAATTTAATTTAAAACACCTGCAGAAAAGCTCTCCAAACCTGGAAATTTTACCAAAGTCACCCACAGAACCACACAGGAAGCTGTTCCTTCCCCTTTCCTCGTCTTCACCCTCTCTTCCAACAGAGTCGCTTCACTACTATAGTTTTAGTACGCTGTTTTGCCTGAGCTTCTATGAGGGCAGAGAACCCCATCCAAAGGGAATGAAGACACCCAACCAAACGCCCCTTCTGGACCGGATCAGCAGAGCCCGATCTGTCCCTCGCCTGCAGCTGAGCTACCTTGGCGCTAGTTCACAGGGATAAGCCCTTGCTGTGGTGTGAGGAATACATGAAAATCAGGTGCTAGGAAGAAAAAAAAAATACTGCTATAAAACCCTTGTTGTGATGAATATATGAAAATCAGGTGCTGGAAAAAACAAAAAAACAAAAAAAAAAACAAAAAATAAAAGCCTACTGCTACAAGGGCCCGGGCAAAGCCCTGCCGGGCCGGGCACAGCAGGATCTGCCAGGGAGACCCCGACACCCGCCCAAAGAGCTGGGCCCCCGCCCGGCCCCTCCGCCATTTGGCACCCCGCGCATGCGCGCCCCCTTTCGGCGGGCCCTCGGGGAGGCACCGCCCCGACGGCGCATGCGCACTTCCTCGGMGAAGCAAACGGCTTGCCCGGCTGCCCGGCGTACGAGAGACGGCTAGGGACAATTCCAGCCAAATCCGCATCTCAGTACGGATGATCGCGAGCCGTTCGGGGAGGCCTGGTCCCGTTGCCATGGCAGCGTCCTCCTCCCCCAGTTGCGGCCTGCAGCGTCGGCGCGTCCAGCGGGGGGCCCTCCCGCCCTTCTCTCCTCTCCCCTCCTCTCATTTCCCCAAATCCCGTTCCAGAGCCTCAGGTCTCATCCTTCTGCGTCACCCCAGCGTCGCCACGGGGCCACGTTTGTGCTGGYGACCTCTGAAGAGGAGCCGCCAGTGTCACAGAGAGGACAGGCCCCTGGAGCAGGGTTGCAGCTGTGGCAACTGCAGAAATTTCCTGTATAAATATTGATGAGGCCAGAGGGGAGAGGAAATGAGAGTCTCCTTGCCTGCCTTTGCTACCTAGCTAGCATCGTTTCTTCCTTAAATCCAGGSCCTGTAGATGACAGTGGTCATTTGCAATCCATTAGCAGTGTCTCTCCACTGCGGTCGCTCCAGAGCAGGCACAGAAAGGAGAGAGTTAATGCCAGCTGCGCTCCCATATTCCCCGTTATCACTGCTGACATTGCTGTGGGGTGGGAAGGAGAGGAATTCCTTCAGAAATGCGCCTCTTCAGCAAAGGCCCCAGTGCAAGAGAAGTGAAAAAAATGCTTTGAAAACAACCTGGAAAGTCTGCGAGACACAGGCTAAAACTCAGCCACAAATAACCTTGCCTGTGCTTGCTCTCAAGGACTTGGGAAAAGAGCCTTCTCTCAGGTTTGAAGCAGGGAGAACTCCCACCCACATATTTCCTCTATTTTTTCCTCTTGCACAAATAGTTGGACAAAGAAAATTATGGCCTGTGCACCAGCAAACTGTTGGTTTGCTGGGTTTTTTATATCGAGGAACTCTTTTGCTTACTTAATTCCTTCGTGTTAAATAAGAAGAGGTAATTTTCAGGCATTTAGATTAACTCATGATCTGGCAGTAAAGCCGGCTTCATCGCTTAATAAATGTGTCTTCACTCATGTGAAAATGATTAGAAGATTTTTCTTTTTTAAAGTCCAACAGCACAGTGTTACCAAATATACTGTAATGGGAAATTGTGAGCATATAATGAGATGTTTGGTGTCTCAAAAGAACTGCACAACAAAAGAAACCCTAATCTTTTAAGAGATCGTTCCCTGAATTTGGGTCAGAAAACTTTGCCTTCCTTTGTCAGTAGTGATATAAAGCAGGAAAATCCTTCACGATACTAAAGCATTTAACAGGATTTCACAGGAAAGAGAACTGCACCAGAAGACATTCAATTAAAATTAGGAATGCTTACTGATTTACTGTACCGAGCTGCCAAGAGCATGTCAAAACAGTTCAAAATACTTGGTAAATTCACAGAGCTTTCTCAAGTACATAATTTACTACAGAAATGTTGTATTAGGAGAACAGGCGCCGAGTTGGACATAATCATCCTTGTAAACAGGTCAACCATGTTCCTCTCGTGGTTTTTTCACCAGTGTCGAAGGGCAAAGCGATGCTTCTGTTTCCAGGCTGTAGTTACCTGCTCTTTCCTCAGGCATGAAGATGAGCTCAGTGGGGTCAGCTGGAACCATCTTGGGTTTGTTTCAAAAAGCCAGTTTGAAGGAGGATGAAGAATCCCTTTCAGGGCGATGAGAATTGCAGCTCACCTCTAACCTGAGCACTAATGCATTGGCTTCAGCTATTCATTTTCTCACGGAAGGATTGGCAGCTTCTCTGCCCAGAGGGTTGAGCAGTCTCCATCCTGGAAGATTTGAAGACCTGATGGGATAAAGCCCTGAGTCACTTGGTCTGATCTCACAGCTGACCCTGCTTGAGCAGGAGGTTGGCTGCAGACCTTCTTAGGTCYCTTCTGACCTCAACTACTCTGTGACTCTATTATTTCATCCATTTTATATCTGCTATTTTATCAGTCTTTGGCTTTCTTCAGATATCAAATTGATGAATGACTAAGGTTAGAAAGTTTATTTTTTATAAAGCCTGTCGAGAGAGAAAAAAAAAAAAAAGCAACTTTTTATGACTGAGACATATGACCCAGCCAGAATGAGGTAAAAATCTCTTCATGAGATGAAAGTAACTCTTCGARGAAAACTGATAAAAAGGGAGAGATATTATGAGTCTTTAGAAACATATATCAAGGACCTGTATGCATCTGCAGAACCCCCTGGAATAGCAAAATAACTAATGAAATACATTTATAACACTACACTGTCCTGCAAAACGGGCAGGATGACCTCTGGACATAGTCAGCACTGGCTGCAAGGTTATATATCATACAGTCTAAGCTGTTCCTTCATGTCTCCTTCAGACATCTCTCCGAATGTGTCACTTTTTTCCTCCATGAGCCTGAAGATGGCAGCCAGCTGCTCTCTCTGAACCCTGTCAAGAAGAAAAGGAGAAGTAGCAATAGCCAGACCCCACAAGACACTTTGAGCAGGAAAACTGTGGTCAAATGAAACACGAAGCCAAAGAGCATCATTTTACAAGCCCTGTCGACTGCAGGAAATCTGTTCGTGTGAGAGAAGAAAGAGAGAGCTTCAGGTTGGTTCTTCGTCTACTCCCTTCTATCTATTCAGTCATGATGTGCTTGTCTCTACTTTTGTTTTAATATGGAGATAAGCTGGCTGCTTGAACGCCAGCTTTACAGTTTCATAGGGCTTGTGTGTGCTTCGGGTTTCAGGATAACTCCACACATGGAAATTTTTAAGACCAACATGTTCAAATTCAGCAGAYCCTATAGCAAAACTAGATTAAGGTTGATCGGCAGAGGGTGATTCAGCAACATYTATTAAATTTTAAAAGTATACACTTCCTGAAAACTAGAGACTAGACTTCCTTCCAGTGTAGACATGCCTTTAAATCAGCCACTGGAAGATAAAATCATACAGAGAAAACTGCTCTGATTCAAGGATTCATCTGCCAGTGTCAAATGGTGAGATGTGCTCAGGCAAGCAATGGGAGGATGGATGTGTGGGCCACTTTGTCCAGTGGACCTTCTAACTCAGATTTTTAGCCTTTGTCAGGTGATTAACCTTTCTTTTCTCCCCATAATAGATCTAATGCCCAGCCAATGCATTTCTGTTCCAAAACATGAAGCAGTGAATCATTTTTTGTATGTCCTGCAGCACAAAGGACCTGTCACAAGGCTTTATTGCAGAGCTTATATCATTCATATGTCAACTGATCACCGCCCAGGGATACAGAAAGGTGGGCAGCACAGGAATGCCCTTTACTCTGAAGTACAGACTTGCCCTTARTTCATGAAATGATGCAGCTATTTTGAGGCTAAATGAAGGTGCACTTTGGTTTCAGTCAGGACTGACTATGGACTGGAAGGTTTTCACTACAGGGCACCCATATGATTTAGAACACGTTGCAGCATTTCCTACCACACTTCATAATCAACTGTCCTGTGTGAGATTAAAAGAATTAATGAGGTTGTTGTGCTCTTTGGCTGTAATAAGGGAGGGAGAGTTTCTATTACATCAATGACTCTCTTTTTTGGGAAGTCTCTGCTGCAATGGTCCAGCAACCCAAAACAGATCTGCGTCAGTCCTGGCTCCTTCTGCSTCTTTAACATCCCTGGCCTCAGGATGATTCTTCCTTGAACTGAAAATTCAGACTCTGGCTTTTACTTATGCACATGGCCAAGATTCCCTCTCCCAACTTCTTGCACAGAGTTTTAATACACTGTAATTAATCCATTTAAAAGCACATCCATAGTTAACTTGGAGTAGTGTCAATGCAAGTCCTATGCAGACAAACTATTAGCTATTAAAGTAACAAGAAGAAGAAGGTAGAAATATCTGCAGACTGGCAAAACCAGAATGTAATCTTTGTTTGAAAGAAGGCAGCACAGCATCAATACTTCAGGATCAACCCTACCAAGGAAATCAGGGAAGCAGAGAGTCAGGAATGAGCAGAGGAGCCTCCATGTGCTGAGCTCCAGACAAGAGGGGCTTTGTATTTCCCCCTCTCTTGGGCTCAGCCCCAGCAGGAGCAGGAATAGTTTGTAGTTTCAGCCCCATTGCAGTAATCAAGGTGTTGTGGGGGAAAGCAAGCACATTCTGATGGAAGAAAGTTGATTTGCCAATTATTTTMTATTACAATTAAATGCAATTGTCCTAAGACCCAGCATATCCTGAAAATATCCTGCAGGGTCTGGCTGTGAAAGCTCTGGCCACAGGCTGTCAGCTGCCTGGATTTGTCTCTTCTGTACTTTTTATTTTCACACATCAGCCTGCCCTTTCCAGACTGGAGGAAGGGAAGCACAGTCATGATCAATCAATATTTTATTTTAAACCATCACTGGGCACCAGAGGGCACATTTCTTGTCTGGTATGGAGAAATTCAATACACATCTTTGCTTCACATATCTGAAGTCCTTCCCAGCTGGGAATGCTCCACACAGCTCCACATCCCTCCCTCGTTTTTCTACAGACATTAGCACTTCAGAAATCTCCAGTACTTCCTTCACACCCCACCTCCAAAATCAAGATCACAGGCAGTATTGACTCCGATTTTCCTTAAAGCCAACATCAATGCAATTTGGCTGCCCCTTGACAGAAACAACATTAAATACCATGAAAGGGTGTTTAAAAAACAGAAATAGAAAAGAGGTTCTGCTGGTGTTAAGTGTTTCTCTGCACTACACAATCTACAAGAGGGAGAGAAGAAAACAAAGATAAATGGAGAAAGGAGCCTGGGAAGTAGGAGTACGATATCAAAAACATAACACCGATTTCAAAAAGGAGCTTCTCCTATCAAAGGTGACCTTGTAAAACAATTCTGTGGTACTCTGGGTTTCCTTTTCTTAATGGATTCAGATCAAACCTACCCCATTCACGCTCTCTTCCCGTAAGTAGTGTTCCCAAAATAACTTGGATTCAGGAGGTCAAATAGGATTTTACGTATTGCTGACAAAATAGATTAATTGGGGATTTTAAAAGCAGCCTAATTCTTGTTGATAGACAATGGCACTTGTCTACTTAACTCYCTTAGGCTTCTTTAGACATTTCAGCTCAAAACTTCTCCAATTAACTGGCAGTTTGGGGCAGTTAGTCATAGTAGATTAAAGAAGATCTGCATTTCAGGACCTGCTGAACGTCCACATTCTCAGCAGCTAAAATCCTCATCAGAGGCTCCACATTTGGGTATTTTTCTAACTTCCCAACTGTCAAACAAGACCAGGATCCTGCTGCAATAGTGCATTGCTCCAGTTAAGGGAAAAACAACCCAGCCCATAAAATCTGATTCTACTCCTAAGGATGTGAAATCACTTACGGGGTAAAAGGGAAATGAGAGCAAAATGTACCTCTAACCTAGACTCCAGTTTGTCAACACAAACCTCTTGAGGAAGAAATTAGAAGTTGCTAAAGGCAGGGAGAACAAGACCAGACCAAATAAACTATTCAAAGGTTTATTGGACCAAACAAAGGCAATTTTTACAGATTCAAGCTACTAGAATGACAGTCTTTTGTGTAAGAGCCACCATCAGATACAAAACAAACAAACGAAACAAACAAAAGTAAAAAATACCCAGACAGCCATTTGGGTTGAAGTTTGACTCGCTGCCACTAGCAAAAAATCCAGACTCAGCTATAGGCTTTGCTCGATGTACATATTGCCATGTAACTTAAACASAATGTATATAAGGCATTCTTTGCATAGTTGGGTGCTTGGGACACAGAGTCAGCCACCAAGGGGAGACTGAGCGGCTGAACCAGTGAGGAAGATGAAGCAGAGGGTCCTGATGTGTCTAAATTCATCYGCAAACCACTACACAGGCTAGCAGTTGTTGGCTGGGGCAGCCCAGCCTCTTCTAAAGCTGAAGCCTCCTAATGTTCTTTAAATGAGCCCTTTTATGACGAGTTGGCCAAGCTCAGGGGCTGGAAAGGACAACCAAGTACAAGGTTTCAAGTATTGTCTGCAGAGGAATTAAGGAGGAAAAAAAAAAAAGGAAAAAACAAAAGCAGCCTGCTGGGTTTCTGATATGTTTGAAGCTTTAGCCAAGAGCCCGTTGTCCCACAGGGAGAGCAAGAAGCTCTGAAGGACACATCTCCAGCCAGCCTGGGGTCTCTACAGTAGCGCTAGAGGRCTTCACTCCTCTTGCCTTGGGGATACGTCTTGCAAACCAGCTAGCCCGATCTGAAACCTGCTCTCCTGAAGCAGGTCTGTACCCAGCCAAGTTTATCTTCTATATGTAACAAAGTTGAGGAGAGTCGCTGAGCTGTGGCTCCAGTGGACAAACCACGGGGCTAGCAAAAGGAGAGGGCAGTGGAACAGCAAGAAGAAGAGGAAGGGAGAGGGTATCTCTTTCAGGACCCCCGTAATCTCATCCTGAGCCAGAGGGAGCCCGTGATACTGTTGCTACCTCCTCAGGTTTCTCCATTAGGAGCTGGACCATGGAAAAGTATGAATCCAGATGCGAACAGTGGCCAAAGTGTGGTCTCCAAAACCTCCACCACAGGCAGAACAGCTAAACTATCAGTCCTCATCACTTCTCGAGTCTTCCCTCTACTTAAAGGATCATTTCTCTGCTCAAATACCTACAGAAGCAAGAGTAGAGTCATTCTGGCTACAACCTGCCATTCCTCACTTTGATCCCACCTTGTCCCTCCACCCCTCAGAATACACAGTGCTAGACAACGTTTGAAATCGTAGGCAGTTCCCACCCAACAATAAAGAGGAGTTTGGCCCTGGGAAGAAACGGGTTGATCATTTGGTACAAGGTTCAGGTAGGTCTGAGAGAATGGCCGTGCTCACCCACCCTGCTAAAGAAACACAGATTTCACAGCAGGGCTGAACGTGGTGACAGATACAACTAATAGACTTGCTGCATATTTGGGTGTCCAATTTGGGCTCTGTTTGGGGGAGGGAAAAGAAGATTTGTCTCCAGTCCCCCCCCAAACACAACTCGAGTCACTGCTTGGAACTAGCCCCAGTCCATGGAGGCACAACAGGATCTCCTCAAACTTGATACCACAGGAGTTTTGCAGAACTCAACTTCAGACCAAGAGGGGGGTCCCAAGTTTTGAGGGTTTATGGATTTTTCTTATGGGTGTGTTTGGTTGGTTTTGGTATTTCTCTCAAGCCTTTAAAGATGCCAAGGGATGCCTTTAGGAGGAGGCTAGGGACAACTTCATATAGTCTTCAGTTCTGCAAAGAGAAACAGGGAGAGAAGAAGAAAAATCATTTCAGTCATTTCACCCCTCAGGTTTGGTTCATTATTATTCACATAAACGAGCAGGGGAAAAATCATTGTAGGAGGGGAAGACAAGGCAGCTTCCCACATCAGGGCAGAACAAGCCACCGTTTGCAAACCTCATGCCTCTAGGGAGAACTTTTGCTTCATCAGCTGCAGCAAGATAGCCTGAATC